AATTAGCGCAAAACTAATTAGATTACAAATCCTGGAGACACAAACAAAGGCTATTTATAAGCCTTCAAGAAGAGAAGTGAAAATCAGATTGTTTGGAGAAATGACTGCACAGTTTTTACATTTAGGTCACCAAATTCTCAAAGACCTGGTCTAAATAATGTAACAGGATGCCCTACAATAGAGACCAGGATGAAGTGGACCCTAATAAGGAGTGTGAGCGTGCGTGTGTAGGATGGGTTCAGTGGATCTGAGCCTTGCACTGTTGACAGCTGAACTCTTTAGTTCAAATAACAGGACTCTTGTCCTTCTGAGCTGGAGAGTCTAAATTCTCTACCAGCTGATGCCGAGATGCTTTAAGCCATTGCCTGGCATAGACGGGCTCAGAGGTGTGTCTCCTCCGACAGATCCTTTCCGGGGCCGGGAGTCAAGTTTTGTCTTTATAGTCGTTTGTGCTTTCTGAAGCGCCGTTGTTGTGCACAATGCCATACTAGCAAACACAAGTCAAGGTTCCTGCCTTGAATTGCTTCCAATATAAGTAACGTGAACAAAACTTTCCTGTGTGTGCCGGAGCCCAGCTGGGATATCAGCAGAGCGCTGATAAATGAAAGCTGAAGTAATTCCAGTGTGAAGTACGATGTTCTTGTTATGACACACACACGTTCACGTGTAGGTTTGTGGACATGGTTTCCGTTTGCTGGGATAACACAACAGCTGCCAAAGCAAATACAGTTCCAGATTGGCTTTCGACATACCTCTCCTATTTTCTCATGATGTCGTAGCAGTTCAGCACTGGCAATATTTGGATAGGAGCATGATTAGATTCTGGTAACTTTCTAAGCCAGACAGAATACGTACAAAATAGCGCCTGCCTGCCCTCTAGTTGAAATGATGGCCAGGCAGTGACCAAACCGTAGAGAACTTTGTTGTGTTTTATTACGCCATGACACTGGTGTCACCCGGATCATGACTGTGGCTGCGTAGCCCAGAGTTCAATAAGTCCCAGCAAGAAATGCTTCTCGGTAAATCGTTCTGCTTAGGAGCAATGTATGCAGGAAGATGTCATTTCCGCCCCTCTGTTAACAATCGAGGTTGCTGCAAGCTCCTCCGTATTATGGAAGTCACTGCAGTTTTGGGGCAGGTGACAAGCCACCACCTTTCTGTTGGACAGAATACGAGTCTCATGGTAGCAAATTGATCTTAAACCTGGATTCTGCCATCCTTATTCATGGTAAACGGTCCCTTACCTCAGGCAGTGGCTTGATCGCGAAGATCGATTTTTGCAGGTGGTCTTTTGTCTTCCATATGGCCCATGCCATGCCATGAGAAATCATGAGACTGCTTTTAAATAATAAATCTGGGGTTCTTTCTACTTGCCCAGTGGCTCCTGGGACAGCTTTTCCTGCTTACATTCTCCAACTTTTCTCCACAACCAGGAGAGCTAGAAATGAAGGGAGCTTATTTTTTGAATGACAAATGAAATTCTCCTGTCATGACTTGGCTCCAAAAGCTGGGGCTTTAAAAAGAAAATTTCAAAAATCGCAAGGCAGGCTATTACCATGCAGCACGTACATGGCCATGGACTTTGTTATTCATGGGCTCGTATTTTTTCCTTTAGCCTATTAAACTGACTGTTTTTGGTGACTTTGTGTTCATTCCCTGGAGTTTTTAATAGATAAAACTGACATTTTATTCAACAAAAAGGACATGTGAACCTCAGGCATAAAATGAAAACAGCTCTACTTAGCTTGGCAAATGACCAGCAAGCTATCTCCAGTAACCCATTTATCAGCGCACGCTGCTGTTTCAGTGTAGTGCAAGTCTGACACGAAGTTTATCTAGCACAAACACATTTGTTCTTCTTCATGCACGGGCAGCGTAAATGATTTTAATGCAACTGTCTGAAGGTAAGAGGCCAGATTTTCAAGTAGCACAAACTGATGGGGCTCCAGCAAAATCAAGGGAGCATCTTACCCAGTGTTTTCATATAGGTTTATGGGCAGTAACTCCCATGAACACTCATAGGTATTGCATATGCGTACAGCCAGGGAAGAGCATGCTCAGAAAAGCTTAATAAGTATGTGTTAGGGAAGAGTCTTCATAAAAGTCAGCATCTGGGTAAGTCTCTGAAGCTTGCAAGAAAGCATGAGGCCAGCATCCAAATGGCCCTGAACATCAGGGAAAGTCCGATCTAGGCCCAGATTCTTTCTGGCACCAAGATCCAGTCAGTGCAAGGTCAGGGAGGCAAGACTGTCAGTAAACACCATGGATCTGAGTCCAGGAAGGCAGTTTTCCTTAAGGCCCTGGGGGATAATTGTTCTTCTGGCATGGTTTAGTACCCACTGAGGTGTTGGGGGTTAAAGCCCACTTTATGGAAATGGGAGGCTCCTCCCTAGCTTGTTTCTGAGGCCAGATGGCTGAGGGTAGGCAAAACTTGGGGGGCATCTGAACCCCAAGCCTCCAGGCTTGGGCCAGCACGTAGGATGCCTGCCAAAAGACATTGGAAATATTTGAAGGCCCTGGTGGGGTTGGAGGATGTTTGCCTGTTGTAGGGGCACTTCCAGTTCTGGACTGACTCATGGATTTGGACTTGATTTGGCCAATTTGGCTTGGAACATGAACATTTTCTTTAAAAAAACAAAACAAAACTCCTTCATTCTCTGAGACAGCCCACATCAGCCCTGGCAGAGGTTAGAGCAGCCTTTGGGGCGCTCGGACCTGCATCAGTGGTGTGGCATCCCTTTACAACAGAGCTATGATCTGGGAAGATGTGCAGATAGGGAAACCTCTGGCATGCAGTCCGTGGGACATCAGACTCGACAACAATAGCATGCATCGGTCACAACTAGGTAGTAACTTTTTGTGTTCAGAGTGACCTGCAGGTATCTCCGTAGGACTCTGCAGGATAATGCCGGATTATAATTCCCATCTCATGCAGGGGGAAACTGAGGCATGGAGACTTGCTCAAAAAACCAGCAGGGATCCCTCAAACCTGGGATTAGAGTTTGTCCGGAGCTCAGCCCACTGGCCTGCATTGCTTTTTTTTAGCTGAGACATACAGCCAGCACGTGGGGGAGCCTTATCCCAAACCCACAGGCCTGCAAAATTAGGTTGTAATTAAATCAAACTCTTACAAGGGCAGTAGGCCTCCGTGCCACCCTCCACCCCAGATGTCCTGTGGTTTAAAGCCTCAGAGCAGCCCTCATAGGAAGTGCTTTGTGTTATCATTAAGCAGCCCCCTACTCCTCCAGCCAAAGCAGGCGGCTGCATGCTGTTCTCCTCCGAGCAGGCTTCCACCAGAGCAAACTTGACAGCCTCTGCTGTCCAGATTTGTTTGGTGTTTTTCAAATTCCAGCCCAGGTCACAGATTCATTCCTGCTCTCAGATCCCTGCAGCCGGGCCAATGCATATTCTGCGAACACATGTGCTTCTTGGCAAAAGATGCAGGAGCTGCAAAACAGCCGTTCAAGCCTGCTGCTCTCTGCCAGCCCTTCCCTACATACAAAGCCAGTGCTTGCAGGAGGGAGGAGAGACTGCCGAGCAGCAAAACGTTTCATTTGTGCAAGCTCCCAGGGGCTGGCAGGTGACATTTATTTTCCAGTTTGTCTAGAGCAACGTAAACCCATGAGGCTTTCCCCAGAGGTGGCCTTGACGGGGATGCTGCTGGGAGTAAAGTAGAGCCCGGTAGCTAAAGGCAAGCAGTGCTTTTAAGAATCAATAGCACTTTCTTTACTAACGAATTTCCTTCCTACAGAAGGAACAGAAGATTTTGCAAATAAATGAAGTCTGGATTCTCCACGGATCTTCTTGGCATTATTCCTGATATTAAAAAAATAGCTGCTTCTCATTGTTCTTATTTGCCTCTTGAATACTGGCATTTAAAGATCCAGAGGACAGGGAGCTCTTGTAGTCATGCTCGGGTTACTGTCAAACTTCATTGCAATGACTCCCCCAAGGTGTTTCTGCAAGACTGTTTCTCTGGGACCTTGTATCCAAAGGGTCTGGGACTTGTTTTGTAGTGATTACTGATGCTAATGTCTTCCCACAAATGACTTGGCACTGGGGAGCACAGAACTTGCAGGTCATGAGATGCTGAGCTGAGCACTGGAATAGGAGCTCAGTCCTGACACCGTTTCTATTCTTGGGCCTTTTCCTCCAACCATCTCAGCAGGATCACTGGGCCCTTTTGAGGATCAGCCCTCAACCATCCCATCAGACAGGAGTGGCAGGAATGGCCTAAGTTATGCTCCACCCTCTCCCCGAGCGTTGCTCCGATTTCCGCCCCCCAGAAGCATACCTGATAGAGGGCACAACCTCGGGTACTGGAATGGAGGTAGAGGGGCTTGAACCTCCAGCCACACGGAGCTGAGTGGGGGCAGACGCTGCTGTGATAGGAGGTGTCACTGCCAAGAGTGAGGTAAACCTTCCCCGGTCCTGCAACCACAGCCATTTTATATGGTAAGCAAGGATCCAAAGCCCTGAATTTGGCAGTGGCTGCAGGGCCAGGCTTTTAGTGATGACACCACCATTCAAGCCCTGCTCTGCTCTGTGCAGCCAGAGGCTCCAGCCCCACTTCTTCCACTCCACTGACTCCCTTTACTGAATGCCCACCAGTCAAACTATCCTTTGATATCAGGTATCCCATCTCCCTAAATAACTTTGCCTGCCTGTGTCCTTTGTTCTGCCATTCTGCTGTTTGTTAGCTGCTCCTGGTAATGAAGCTCCAATTTCACAGTCCTACAGATTGCTTTTCACTCATTCTGATAAAGTTATATTTGTTTTTGCTGCAATCTTAAATGCAATATTACAGCCCTTGGCCCCTGGCATATTAGTAAATCTTCTAGTTTATTTTTAACTGGAGAAAAATGTGTGTTGTTTTATATGTGATCGTGCACCTCACCATCTGCACCCCCTTTTCAAACTTCTAGATCCACCCCCAGCTCCTGGGATCCTACTCCTCTCAGGTGTTGCTAACGCTGTTTCTTTTGGGTTTTCAGGCATGGAAGAAACGCTGGTTCATTCTGCGGAGCGGTCGGATGAGCGGCGACCCGGATGTCCTGGAATACTACAAGAACGACCACTCCAAAAAGCCCCTGCGTGTGATCAACCTCAATTTCTGTGAGCAAGTGGACGCAGGGCTGACCTTCAACAAGAAGGAGCTGCAGGACAGCTACGTCTTTGACATCAAGACCAGCGACCGGACCTTCTACCTGGTTGCCGAGACAGAGGAGGACATGAACAAGTGGGTTCGTAGCATCTGCCAGATCTGTGGCTTCAACCAGTCAGAGGAGAACACAGGTACCGGGATTTGTGTTTGGAATAGGTTACCTATTCCCTTTGCATCAAACTCTGCCCTAAGAAAGTGGGCTTAACCCCTATTCCCTCCTTTTGGAGCCAGTTGCTCTGCTAGATCAGACAAAGAGTTGGGGGATTTGCAGCCTGACTTTGCTCTTTTTGAAGTCAGGCACGGGAGCTGGGATTGGTCCTTTGATCACTAAATGTGAAGCTCTCTCTGGGCCACTGCACCACTCAGGCATTCCTCAGCCTCTCCAGCCTCCCTGCCTATCTCTGCCCTCCAGACCACGACATCTGGCTTTCTCCCTAAAATGATCTCACCGCTGCTTCCTAGCTGCAGCCCACCACCCCAGCCTCACAGAGCTTGTGCCATCTCTCATTTCTTCAGCAGCAGAGAAATGGGACCAGGTGCATGGGCCTTTGGGGTGGAGTGTATGAGTGTAGAGTGCTGCTTCTGGCTCTGCCGCCAGCTACCTGCCCAACCTTTGAGAAGTCACTTGGGGTATTTCTGCACCACAACAGCGTGTGTGTGACTGCGTGTGCGTGTGTGTGTGTGCCCGTGCTCTCCCGGGTTCGTGGGGGCAGGGCTGTGTGCCAGCCAGACTGCCCTGCACCCCAGACTATGCCCTGCGTTTCTGGGATGCCCATTATAATTCCCAACAGCTGGCTGGGACCAGCCTCTGAAAGCCGGGACTGTCCCAGCTAAAACGGGACTAATAGTAATAACGAACTAACTAAATAAAATGGGACTGTCCCCGCTAATACGGTTGCCCTACCATTGAGGGCACTGTGGTACCATGGGGATCAGCATAGAGTTAACTGAGAACCCAGCCTTGATGACATCAGTGAGGTTTAGCGGGCTAAAAGTGACGGGAGAGTTCCCAGACCTATCCTTTAGGAGGACAAACAGGAGACTGCACCACTTACACAATACTGGTGTCATCCCCTTCCTATCTTGCAAGCTTCAGAGCCTTTTAAGAAATAAAAAAAAAAAAAAACAAAACTGTTGCCATCAGCTAAGTCCTGTCAGAGGCTTTCAGAATTGGCAGGAACATGTCCTCTTCTCCACGGGAGGATCTGAGGGTAATGGGTGGGATGTGCAAATAGAAGAGACAAGCTGAGTGGGGGTAGGGATGCTGTGTCCACATCACAGCATCCGTGGCTAGAGTTGGCACTCAGGGGTCAGCCATAGGCAAATAGTGTTTGGGTGGAAGAGTTCAGCTACCCACCCCTCCGTATGAGTGTGATTAGGCACAGGTGAGAGGCTGGCAGGAAGGAAGAAGTAAAAGCCAATGGTGGTTTGTATAACAGGAGAGTCAATGTGGCTTATTTCATGAGCATCAACCGTTCTCAAATGCACACCATACTATTGTGTCCTGGCAGTGTGAGCATGGGCTAAGACAATGGTGGGCTTCTCTGGCTTCCTCTGAGTGTATTTGCAGGCTGGACAGAGATATTTCTTTTAAACAGTATTGCATGGTGCCAAGCGATCCCACAAAGCCATTCCAGTTCCCACAGACAGAGGCAGCTGAAAGGGCAACATGAATGCAGGCTGGAAGAACCCAGCGGATGGGGATGCCGTGGCAGAAAGGAGAGTCTGTATGTAATCCATTCCCAATTCCATTTGTATTGATGAGATTGCCTACATTACAAGCACTTTGAGAACAGCTCTAACCCTAACCCATGGAATTTGATTCAGCAGCCTAGTGCACTGGGAAGGCAACAACTATAGTCATCATTACACATTTCTGCTCCGGGACCAGAATCAGGTTTGTAAAACCAGCAAAAGGAAAGCATATGCAAGGTTCCTCTTGGAATGGATGCAGCGAACCTGCTTTAATCTATATTCCTTTAATCTACTGCCAAGGCGTATAGATTAGAGATGGTATAATGAGTCCCTCCCAAAACCTACATCAGAAGGGAGAAATCGCCACCTTATTTTCTTTGAAATCAGTCCTGAGAACATCTCCTAGCGTGATGTCTGAGATCAGTCCCCTATGGTGCTGAGTAAATAAGTGATGAGATGAGGTAACAATAAAACAGACGTAATCCCATCCTCTCTACCCACACACACCCCTCAGCTCCCCAAAGGCCATAACAATAGAACAATTGGGCTGGAAAGACCCTCAGGAGGTCATCTAGTCCAACGTCTTCTCAAGGCAGGATCATCCCTGCCTCAGCCATCATAGTTAAATGTTTGTCTTACCAGTAATGTAGGGTAGACCTGTAAAACAGGCTCTTTGCAGCTAGCTATATTCACAGCCTGAAAGACAGCTAGCAAGTCTGAATTTCAGGCCTAAGAGTCTAGGACTTGTCCACTGTATCCACTTGTTGTGTCCTTTTTTATATAGACCAGGAGTTCTCCATGTGTCCTCTGTTACACTTCTGTACAGCACCTAGCACAGCCAGGTCCTGACTCTTGTGTGAGCTTCATAGACGCTAACATCCTTATGCTATCTATAACAGTGTCCAGTGTGTTTTGGTCGATAATGGAGCAGCTGCAGTCTGCCCAAGCTGAAGCCCTGCCAAAGGGTAGGCAGGCGGGACAACAAACACAGTATCACAATAGCATAAATCCAGGCTTCATCAATTGACGCATTAAACAGGATATCACCTTGGCAATGCTTGTACGAGTGCCATAAAGAGTCCCCGATAATGTTGCAAACATCATCTTTCAGAGAAAGGTCAAGCTAAGTAAACTGCATCCAGATCTGATGCTAATTTTATGGCTATCAGGATTCAGCGTAATAGCGAACACCTTTGGCAAGAGCTACCCAGTCAGGGCCTTTTGTTTTGATTGCATTCAGCTGGAAGAAATTGTATTCCAGCCTGAGTTTTTCTATGTAGTGAAACAAGCCTCCAGCACAGAGAAAGTAGGATCGATACTGGGATGAAGTGAAAGATAAGTCTAGATAGCAGCAGCACCACAGTAAAAGCAGCCTTGTCCCAAAAAGGAGCACAGAGGGTGTTAAATTGCAAACGTACATCCCCAAAGGACCGGGGATTAACATCAGGAATAAAAGTCACTTCTGAAACAAAATAGCTGTTGCTCAGTGCTGTAGGTAAGGAGCTTGTCTGAGGGAGCACCGGACTGCCATGAACAGTTTCCGAGTCAGTCTAGCAAAGGGCTGCATTATATGCCCTGTTAATTCAGCCAGTGCATCCAGGCATGGTAGAAAGAGCGAGAGGCTCCACTTCAGATAAAACCAATGATTTAACTAAACCTGCACCAGTGTCGCAAACTCCACCCACCTCCCAAAGCCAGACTGGACTTCATACTTACCACAATTGCCAGCTGAAGGCTAATCCACTGTAATGGCAGGTGGCAGGTCCCAGGTCTGATCCTGAGCTCTTTCTTCTCTCCCCAAGCAAAAGGCTGTATGAGCTTCTGGACAGTTCAGTGTGCATCAAGGCACGTCAATGCAGTAGGACACTGTGGATGCTGATTTGCGTCTCAGGCCTGGTGGCTTCATCCTGGTGCCCACTGAAACCCCCATGCATCTTACTGTTCATAATAGTAAGCCAGCACACAGTGAGAGGTTGAAGCAATTCTGTGATAGTAGGAATTTAAATGGAGAAATGCAGGACAGCTCTGTACTGACAGAAAACCCAAGTCCTTGAACTCTGCCAGGGCTCATGGTTTCCAAACAAGTCCTGGTCATAAGTGTGCTGAGACAGCAGCAAAGCTTGGGGAGAAGGGTTGTTAGTTAGGGGTTGGAGTCCTTGGGTCACTATTACACCTCTACCCTTATAACTCCAGACAAGTCATTGGACCTCACTCGGGGAAGGTGGTGAAAGTATTAGCAGCTGTGAGGTCATGCCTATCAATGTGCCAGGTGCTGAACATAATGAAAACCCATCTCTGCCCTTAAAAACTGACAATCTCAGTATAAATGAGAGATGGTGAATGAATGCAGCAAGCAGGAGGTACCTGTATGGGCAGCAGTACTTTCACAGCAAGAGAGCTGCAGAAGTTAACAAACTAACCCACAGCCCCCAGCAGATGGTTGCAGTTCCTCTGGTGGTGACAGTGTACCACTTTCTTGGTCTGTCCAGTGAATATTCATAAAGCAATCTGAAGACCTTGGATACAGGATGCCAGCTATCTGTGCAATAAACTCCCCATGCCCAGCAATAGAGACAGCTTAATTAGTACAAAAGCAGGCAACTTGTCACTGAATCAGTGCTGCAAAATTAGTCTGCTGATTAGTGCTGATTGGTGTGGTTGAAGTGCCACATGGATGTGGCCACACTGCTCCCAGTTTTGGTGGCAGCCCGTGGGGAGCAGCGCAGAGTACTTGAGGGCAGTGCTGCTGGGCAGGAGAAGTAGACAGGGAAGACCTGGGCTATGTGTATGTTCTTGTCATTGCTCTTCCCAGCTGCTTCTCAAGGAGAGGGGCGTAAAAGCAAAGCTGAGATCCTCAGAACCCAGGCACGAGCCCCTGCTTCTCAGCTGTCACTGCAAGAGCTGAGGTTAGCGTCTGTGTCAGGAACAAGAGGATTTCTAAGAGTAAAAACATCACCTATTGTTCCACATCAGACCCCTGTCCAACACGGGACAGTGGGCAGTGTGTTTTACCCGATAAAGCAGGTCAGCTGTGGTAGAATATGTCCTATTGCAGCTGATCCACTTAGTTTGGCAATGTCTGTCTATAGGCCCAGATCCCAGTTGTACAAGCCTTGTGTGCTGCTGGTCCAGGAGCTACAACTTGTCCAAATTACCAGGGTGTCCAACCTGTTGACCACAAAGGGCAGGCAACACCTGCCAACCAGAACACCTCCCAAACCAAAGTGGACGATGGTTGCACCTGCTTCTCATGCAGTTGCTGCTAGCTCCAGGGGCAGAAAAAGGCCTCAAGAGCATATTTTAAGTGTTCTTAAAGCACAACTGGCAGATAAAGTTATATTCATGGATATAGCTACTCCCCAGGACAGAGGGGAATAAACCACACCAGTCTATGGGGATGGGCAGATGAACAAATTACTGTGGGGTGACTGGGGTG